ATTATTATTATTATTATTATTACTATTATTATTGTTGTTGTTATTAAATATTTGATTATTGTTTGCATTGTGTTTTATCTACTTATAATATATTATTTAGATAGATAGATAGATAGATAGATAGATAGATAGATAGATAGATAGATAGATAGATAGATAGATAGATAGATAGATAGATAGATAGATAGATAGATAGATAGATAGATAGATAGATAGATAGATAGATAGATAGATTAAATTTGATGAGGTGTCAGTGGTATGCTCATACTTAACCCCTCATAACTACTAAACTAACAATTTTATAACTCACAGAATTACTACGTGTGTCCAACTTCACAGCAAGCCAAGCTGCCTCCATTTTTTTTTCTTAGACACACGCGCGTGCGCATTAGTCTGCTATTACGTCATGCGCGGCTCCTCCAATCAGCGTCGCTCTGAGAAGGGCTACGTAGTGTGTGATTTAGGAGTCCTCCCTCAATAAATCTGTCCGAACTTCGCAAAGTTGATTTGAATGTGCTCGTTTCACTTCGTTACTGAAAGTTGTCTCGGATTAATGAAGTGACAGCGCGCTGGCGTCAGATCAGTCGGAGCTCAGAGTGCTAAGCTTCCCGAACGGCACGCGAGGCGGAGCGGTTCGGGTCTGGACCTCGTCTGAGCCGCGCAGCCCCGTCACTGACGCTTTCGTGAGGCGAAACTCAGATGTCATGTGCTGTCAAGGATCAGTTTCTTCCTCTTTCTGTTTAGAAGCGTTTTTTTTTTTTTTTTTTTTGCATGTACCTCATATTTAAGATGGAGGGATGGGTGTGTTTCTTGTTTGCATGTAATTTAATCTCACAGTTGATAATCTTAAAGTCGATTGCCAGACACTGAGTTTGTTGGTGTATTCTAGGGACACTAACCAGAGATGTTTGTCTTGAGATACAATATTTAAGTTATTTTATTAAATTAATGAAACAGTTAACATATTTTATGTGTTGTATTTTGAAATTGAGGACACGGTTAAAATAATTTCTCGGTGTGTCATATAAACCCTGTCTACAGAACATTATTTTTGAACAGACAGTGCGTTTCCACTGATGCACATTATGTAGGCTAATCTAGGGCAGGAAAATTTCAGTGTTTTCTATCTTTGTGTGCTTTTGCAAATCGGAGTTTCACTTTCTGTTTGCGATTAATAAAGTATTTTGTCAGTAATGTATTTAATGACGTTCAGTTTCACTTCTCTCACTTTCTAGTCAAAGTAGATTAGTAAAATTAATTGCGTCTCCCCATCTATTTAGTTTAATGGATCGTTTTTAAGGTCTTTTAACAATTGTAGTCAGTGTGAACAGTTTGTAAGGATTCTGCTTACAAACTGATTGTGAAGATTTTCTCTTAAAAATGAATTGAATTGTTATATAAAGCATTTTCTACCAACAACTACGTGTCCATTTACACATTTGTTACAGTTTCATTCAAAGTCCAAAACAGCTTTTAAAAGCATCAGTTCAGCAATTACCAAATTGTGACAGCAGGGGTCGCAGGTGGATCACTAACAAATTACACACACGGACACAGTGCATTTCACCTGCTCGTTCAATCATCTGAATTTACATTTTGTAAGTATAATATCTACATGTAATGTCTTTTGTTGTTGTTGTTGTTGTTGCTTATTTGTCAATATCGACTTATTCTTATTTTGTAAAGGAAGCCAGGTCTTTCTTTGCCCATGTGCTAAATTGCTAAATAAAAAAAATATTTTGATATATTTTTTAGACAATGCAAAACTTAATTAATAAAACCAGCTTTTTACAGATAAAAGTAATCTAAAAGATCCAGTACTGCATCAGCACTTGGGATTTTGGTAAAAGGTATTTATTTATTTATTTATACTGTCATAAATAAATAAATGATTTTATTTACTCATAAAAGTAAATAAACCCTGCCTTTTTTTTTCAAGCCTAGTTTACCGTATGTGCATAAATGCATCACAAACACATCGTTCCAAGACAATGTACAACCACGCTAAGTTTTAACAACCTTTTCCTCTCTTCTGGCATCAGTCAAGAATATTTGTTCATACAATCCTGCAGAGACCTTGAATTGTGTCTGGTGAAAAACCCTGACTGTCCCAAGTATAGCTTTATCTACTGTCCTACTGCATGGATGTATTCTGTCCTTTTTTAACCTAAATAATTATTCTTTGATTTGTGCCAAACAATCAGTCAGGCATCAGGTAAGAGTGTTCAAAAGAGGCAAAGAATGAAAAAGAAAACCCTGCAGTTTACACAAAAGTCTCACTGAAATAGCATGTGAATAAATTGAGACTGACACTGATATTACAGGTTGTACTTAAAAAGGCTTCCATCTTACAATTCTCAAATTCTCCTGACACAGAAAATATATTTTCAAAACATATCACGCTCAAGTCCTGTGATGAAGATGAGGGACTTTAGAATACATAACATAATTAGACCTCTTTGCTTATTACTTGAAGATATTTCACCTCTGATCCAAAAGGCTTTCTCAGTTCTGAACATGTCTTTTAGCAAAAGACATGTTTTTTTTGCTAAAAGAACATGTCTTTTAGCAAAAGACATGTTCAGACATGTTGAATTGTTATATAAAGCACTTTCTACTAACTGGAGGGTAATAGAGAGGCAACATTAAAAATATACAATTAAGGAAGCTGAGGTCTTTCCAGGTCTTTCAGACTGCCATTAAATTGCATCTGCATCTTTAAGATGCAGCTGAAAGGCAAAATCTGAACAAAGCAGATGGTCTCTCTTTTATGTGTACACCACCAAGTCAAATTGCTGCCAGAGCACCTTACAACTCAAACAGGCCAATTCATATCCATACATCGAATCCAACTTGCTGCTTATATAATTCAAGTGATTTTCTGATACAATAAAATGATAAAGTAATAGTGATGTTGGTCTTTTTAAACAAAACAATCAAATTTAGTTTATGTAACACCAAGTGGCCTGTCTGAAGACGTCCAGCTGATTGCATTGATCCATTTACTTTTTTAGAGACTCCTTATCCTACATAAACCTTTCACAAAAGCACTGGTAGCACATATAAACACTGAACGTGTTGCACTTTTTTTTATGAAAAATAAATTGTGGGTGGAATAGTTAATTGTGGCAATAATCCAAAAAAAAAATTTCCAGAAATGAGATGTGATTAACAAAAGCACCAGCCCCAGATTACGTTGCATCAGCAAGACAAATAAAGAAAATAAAGCAAATAATTCCACCAGTGATTTCTGCGAGAAAAAGAAAGTCTAGTAATGACAATTAAAGCAAGGACACAGCTAATGGCAATTAATATTTGTGCCATTGACTCCATCCAGAAAAAAGACACAGCTAAACTCAAAAGCAATAAAGCAGGTGTACTTTCGATGGAAAAGAGAAAAACCGTAAGTGCACATACTTCATGGCAGCAATAGCTCTCTCAATGTCTTCCATACAGGAAAGACTTAAAACAAAACACAAAAGCAATGTGCCAATCACACTTTCTATAAAATGCACAATTAGAGAGAGAACACACAGTTAATGTCTGCAATAATGGCATTGCAACAATTATTTATTAAGGATTACATAGACCTCATATTGTGAATAGCTGCTTTGGGCTGAAAGGAAACAAATTGTTTCACGTCTGTATATCTGTATTATTATTATGGGTTTGTTTTACCTAGAGAGAGCTCATGCATTTATTGTTCAAAATCAATTTGCTGACAAAATCCCAGGATGATCACTTGTTTGTGTGTTTATAATAGCAAAATAATAATTTACAATAGCAAAAAAAATATTTAACCTGCTTCATTCCATTTAACTTTCTAATATACTTTATCAGAAAACATATGAGGGAAAAACAATGTAACCAAGCTCAGTATTGCTATATTGATATATATGGTGCTGTAAAACAAAACAAAAAAGTCCACTTTTATATTTTGCGTGGGACATTTTTGCCCAACGTCTTTCTTATTGTTAAATTGTGAATAATGACATGAACCATTAAGGTACTGGGACATGCAGTGCTTTAAGTGTTGTTCTGTGATCTTTCAAGACTCATTGATGCACTCTGAAAGTAATTTTGGTAAATTGCATTAGGGTTCAGAACTTTTCTTCGTTTTCTTCCTTTTGAACGATGCCTGCGATTCCACAGTCATCCGCAATCTCAGTAAACGACTGACTCAGTAAATCGATTTCAGTTGATTTGTTTCCCTTCTGTTGTTGAACTTGTTTATATGTTGTTTTGAGATCTTTCAACATGCTTCATGTAGTCATACTGACTACATGCCTGACTATTTTGTCTGGTAGTAATCATCCTAGACTGTGACTATTGAAACTTATCTTAACAAGGAAGCATTTATGTAAGCTTGTGTGTTATTGGGTGGAGAGGTAGGTTAGTTATCTTAAATAAAATCATCATTTGAAAACATCACTGATTCAGTAGACTAAGCAAGATTGCAAGACAGTAAGTATTTACTCTGCTTATATGATTTTAAGATGTAAGAATTTCAAACAAAAGTAAGTGTTCTGTAATGGGCTAAATACTTTTTTTACATGGCATTTTACTGCTTTCATTTGTGCTAGTTTGTAAAGAAATTAAGTTAACAGTTTGAACGTATTCGACTACCACCTTATAAAGATACAGGTTAAAAACTTAACAGCGAGATTAAATAAGTTAAAAGTTGGTTTAAAGCACAAATACAAGGGAAATTAGAAAATCCTCATTGAAATTCCTAAGTACCAATATCATCTTGGACCTTAGAACTTTGAGATATTCAAAATTAATCAACACATTATCAAAATCCTAGTGCACCTCGTTCTGTTAAGTATGAATGAGAAACAATTAAATGGAAGCTTACTTTCTTGTTGTTCAAGTGGACAACTTTTCTTTGCTCCTATTGGTTTGAATTTATGGACAGTTGACTTGACCAATTATGCTCTCTTCTGGCCAAAGCTTTCGTCCAATCAACGTGGAGCTATGCAAATTACGAAAGAGTTGCAGCAGTTTGCAGTGACAGCATTGGAGCTATTTACATGTTTCATTTTCACTTTTTATCCAAACGGCTTTGGGGTTGCGATTGCTCGGACTCGTCGGGATGAAATGTATCCGCTGCAACGCGCAGAAAGTTAAAGCTTGTAGTGTGTTAATGACGTGAAGTTTCCTTTTGCCGGTAGGTAAGCGTTGAAGCTAAACGCTAACAGCTAGCTAGACGTTGTCACCGGTACAGGCGTACCTCTTTGTCTGACAGGGGAAGGCGTGCTCTTTTGTTAGCTTTTTCCCCTTTGTCCGTTCGGGATAGAGGAACTGACGGGTCAGGATTTCATAGGCACCCGTATTTTGGGAGTACTTAGAAAATGCAGGTCGCGAAAAAATACTTTACAGAAGGCCTAATTCAGTTGACCATCTTGCTCAGTTTGGTTGGAGTTCGAGTAGACATCGACAGCTACCTGACCGGCTACTATCCGCCACTCACTGAGATTAACTCGGGTCCGAGCTCAGCCTACATTCAGACACCCTTTCACGTTTTGAGAGACACGCTTGACGGATACGGAGTGCATCCAAAATGCCCCGAGCTGGACTACTTCTTCGCCAGCCGTCGTCTGCTGGATGAGGTGCGGAACCTCGGCTCGCCGCGGTTCCACACGCAGCTGAACGCGTGGCTGGTGCACCAAGTTTCCTCCACGGGGCCTTCCGCCAGCGACAACCCTGACGCCGGCGTAGGGTTAGAAAGCACTGACGATGAGCCCGCGGATGCCGGTGACCACCTGCCTGTCAGAGACCAAGAAGTGCACCGCCAGCCCAACTCTGAGCTGGGACAGCGGCCTTGTGATGCTGGAGCCTTCCTGAATGTAAGTAATGTGTTATTACGTTGGGGGAAGTTATTTGTTATGAATCAACAACATGTTTGGCATAGGCTGGCTAACTGACAACAAACAAAGGGATCAGCAAGGACTTAAAAACTTATGCCGTGACTATCCAGTACCTCAGAAAGGGGGAATATCCACCCATGTAGTGAATTATTTTTATGTTTCCTTGTAAACCAGGAAGGAGACAACAGAATGTGATAAACCGATGGCATAAGGAACAAAGTACATTCCTTTTCATTTGTTTGAGGCCCTTCCAAGTGCTAAAGTGCTTTTCTGGAGTATACTTACAGTTATGTCTGTGTGAAAGTCAAGGACTTGGGGTTTGCAGAGAAAATCAAGGATTGTACCAAGCATGTCTTGTAGTGTCAAAACAATGTCAGCTCCACTCCAGAAGCTTAATCCTGCCCTGCTTTTATCCATTTCAAGACCAGTTTCAGTGCATGTTTCACATTGTTATGACTACCCAGTAGTCTCCCAAGTCCAACCATCTGAACCAAACTGTTTCAGATTTTTGGGAGCAACCAGAAAACCACCAAGATTTAAACCTTTCATAAACTGGAAGATGCTGGGGCACCGTTGTATTTATCTACAGTGAAATTCAACTCAAAAACACAGCATCAGTTGTCAGGCATGGTAGTGGTAGCAACATGATTAGAGTATTTTCTGCTACCACTGGTCCCTGATGCATAAAAGGAGGATGGAGTAAGAGCGAGAAGGACTGCCTCTGAATTCTTCAACTAGACTTCAAACCAAGCGATAAATGGTTGAAACATGGACACAACTGAATGTAGAGTGATTCCTGAAAAGCATGCTGCTTTTGGAGTGGGTGTGGCAAGATTACATTAAGCTTCTGGACAGACCTGACCTTAACCCTAAAAAAGATGGAAACAGGCCAATTCAAAAACAATTCTGCTGCCTTTGCTGAGAAGAGCGGTCAAATATTGGCCAGAATTAGTCAGAGTTCATAGAGGGTTACAAAAAGCAAATGGGTCCGCTGCAAGTTGCTTACTTGCTAAACGCATTTAACCAAATACAGGTATTTTTGTATTTGGGATGGTTTATATAATTTTTGACCTTGTTTGTACCAGAGAAGATGCAGCATATATTCATGAGGACCTTTTTATTTCTGTTTTTACATTTTACTTCACTTCATCTTGGAAAGGTGACAAGTTCATGTGCTTCATCAAAAGTCCAATTTTTATGATATTCACACTTATGAGTGTTTAATTTTAGTAAGGCATTTGCAATCAATAGATCTAGTCTAGTTAGGTACTCCTTAAAGGAGATAACAAGACAGTCAGGCATCAAAAGTATTCAGCAAAACTTAGGATGCTCCTGTCAGTTCTGTTTTCACCTTTAGTTGGAATTTGAAACATCTAAATAACACAACCAAGATGAAAAATATTGTTTTTAGTTTTCTCATTTTTCTATTTGAACGCGATATTCTAAGAAAATAAAAGAAAAGCACTGAACATTCTCTTTGTAGTCTTTCTGCAGTTAGAACACATTAATCATTTATACTAAAAGCAGAGGTGACGTCACACTGTGTGTGAGAATGCAGCTGCTTTAAAACTGACATTAAAAACAACTAAATATTTACAGAGCTGATGCTTTATGTTGGTAATTAACATGGTTAGCATTACGAAAACAATCAAATCTGTTAGGGACTTGCGATGTATCGGCATCAACATCAATATCGGCCAGTGACTTAACAAGTATTTATTTCCCCTTTTTTTGCCATTTGTGTTTCAAGAGGGGTTTGGGAGTGGGTTGGCTATGTGGTACTTGTTTGATCATGTGATAGTGATGCAGCAAAGCATTATGGGCTGTTTAACATGTATTTATGTCTGCCCAAATGTTCATGTCGGTGCCTGTCGTAAAGATTGTTGCTCTTTGCTTTGGAGAATGTTAGAAGGCGGCCAACATTTCCCAATCCATTATGTTCCATGATCAACTTTTCTATACCCCAGTGACCATCCTGTTTTCTACCAATGGTCTTGGTCTCTTGCATCATCATCTTCTCTCGATTACAAACTCCTCTGTAAAGAGCGTAGTTGCCTTTCTGACTTGTTAGTTCTTAATATGGTTGAACATATAGAAAAAATGATCTGATTTATGTTTCCAAACATCCAATCAGAGCCAACCAGCTAATTTCTTAGTGCATCGCATAGATTTTTTTTCTTTTTGTAACGCAGATAAAACACTCAACCCTCATGTTTAATTCCTCCCTCCATTAATGATGCTTTTCTTGCACTTTCTAATACAAACAGCTGCTTGGTGTAGGCTATTTTTTGGCAACAGTTGACGTTACAAGTCGTGTAATAGTGTCACCTTTCTTCAGGGTTAATCACCAGCTGTGGCCCTGGAGAGGTGAAGGAGTGAGGATCAGATCCACACCCTGTATGCTTACAATAGCAGCGGTCTACTCTTGAACATTGTCCCTCCCATAGAGTTGATTTGGAACTGCCCAATGCAATGTTGATGTCTTTATTTTCTTTCATTTTACCTCCAAAGCTTTTTAAATTAGCGTTTGCTCTCTACTGTCTAAAGAAGAAGGCTTCAGCTGGGATTTTCATGGACTCCAGTCGGCAAGTGTCACAAAGCTATTTGAAGCTGAAAAAGTGACAGAGTAAGGAGTCAGCAAGTTCAGGCAGAGCAGAAATAGGCTGCTTTCTTTTTGCTTTTAGCAAGGACGCAGAAAGTTAAGAAGTAATCATTATCCTTTTACATCCAATCCCATTGCACATAGAAAATAACTATAGGGTGTGTATGTGTGTGTGTGTGTGTGTGTGTGTGTGTGTGTGTGTGTGTGTGTGTGTGTGTGTGTGTGTGTGTGTGTGTGTGTGTGTGTGTGTGTGTGACAGCTGTTGACCCACATCACTGGCAGTGTATCAGGTCATCGCTGCCCTAACTTTTACAGCTGCCTATTAAGACAGACCTTGACATCGTTAGAACCGAAGTGTTACATAACACAAGAACCGCATTCTGCTATGGCTAAAACGGGATCAGGGAACCTGAAAATGCTGTGACCTCTGGCGGCTTATTGGGTCACAGCAAACAAGGTGTTTGTGTTTCTCTTTTCGAACATGAAGTTCAAAGTTTACAAATTACTCAATGCTAATCTATCTATATTTATTCCCCCTACCAGGAGGATGAAGTTAAGATTAAAGAAGAAGAGGAAGCAGTTCCACTTACTCACCTGGCTCACAGTTCAACACTAGAACAAGAGGTAAGACAGTTCCTTAGGGATTTTTTTAATGCACTTTTTATTCTTATGAGCATATACCTTACAGTTCTTGTCATAGTTTAAGCTCCTCCAGCTCAGTATCATCCTATGTTGGATGTACTTGTGTAACAGATGTACTAATTTTGTACAGCATATTTAAGCAGAACCCATGTGGCACTAAGGCCCTGCAAAATGTAAGGCAAAGTAACACCTAAGGCAAAGAACTCTTTACAAAATTGTATGGCATCACAATTAATAGGTTCATTTCACAGAAAACCAGTAACAATCTCAAGAGCAATATTGAGAGCACATGTCTTGTGGTTTGCTCTGTTTTGTTTCATTTTCCACAGAGTTTACTTAGTTATTCCAGTTTCTATTAGACTTCCAAACTTCTATTTTGATGTGATTCATAAACAGGAGCTTCAAGTTCATATAAAACTTATCAAAAGAGCCTCTCCTATTTTCGCTGAACAGCACTAATTATGTTCACGTTGTTACCTAACATAGGTGTGGGAGTCTTACAGTTGGGAAAATGGGTCAGATTTCACCGCTGTTCCTGTGCTTCCTGCCTGACTCATCTGCTTTGAGGCGACTGCTCACTTCCCGTTAAAAAAAGTATTGGACGTGTTGTCTAAGGCTCCTCTGAAACCCGTTGCAGGGCCCACAACACAGTCGGCAAGCAGCTCTGTGAAACAGACTTTGCGAGCAAATGCATACACCTCTACAGGAAAGACAGGAACGTCTTGTTAAAGTGTTTTCACTTGAACCAAGAATCAAATGCAATGAGTTGGAAAGAAATACATTAGCTCAAAAGCACTGCTAAAAACAATTTTCAGTAATTGCATATAATTATGTTGCACCACTGGTAAACATATATAATTAAATTTTAAAGTCCAAACATTTTTTAAATTTCAATTTTCAGTTTACAAAATGTCAAATATATTTATAAACTGAGCATATTCTATTATGCCAAAGTGTGAAGGAAAAGCTGACAAGCATGACTTTCTTTTTTTTTTTTAACTGATGTATAATCTTATGACCAAAATGGACATGTGTGACTCATAAGGTCATAAATAAGAGGAAAGTAGACGGATGCTGATCTGAAAAAGTCGGGAAAGTGCTACATGAAAATAGCTGCTAGCCTAAACTTGCCCTCCAGTAAAGGCAATAATTAAAATGTTCAAAACATGGAACTGTGATAAACAAGGGTGGAAAAGAAAAATATAATCAGAGAGAAATTTGATAAAAAATATCCAACTGTTTCCTTATCACACATTTGATTCTATCTACACACCAGCAACTGCTTTCAGTGGCAGAGGAGAGACAATAGTTTTTTGCACTTTTGTCAAAAATGTAAATGTGTCGAAGTTGATAAATCCTACTTGAGCGTTTAACTGGAAGAGGGTGGTTTGGTCAGATAACACCATGATTAAGCCTTTCTGCAACGAACACAGTTGGTACTGGTTCAAACAAAGGGTAAATGTGCCTCCTGTAAAATATGATGGAGGATTTGTGATCCTCCATCATACTTTTGGTTCTCCTCCAAAAGCCCTCTCTCACTATGTCTCTCGTGATATGTTTTAGAAGAAGAACAACTAGTTTCCTGTTGGCAAAAAGTACCGTGATTCCTAATCTAGACAGCAGCAATTTTTGTTTCAAAACCTTTCATATTAAGAAAAATGTAAGCTTCTCTCAAAAATGTTTTTATTCAGAGATTTTACAACTACGGCAATGAAATATACCTCATTTATTAATTTTTTCTTTTTTTTTTAGTCTTTCATGCCTGTTTTCCATTTTTCTTTCAGAGTTTGCTTGAAGGCATCACTACACTGCCCGAGCCAGTGCTTCACCATGCTCCTCCACCTGCTGATATTGACTGGAACAATTTGCTTACTGTTGCAGATCTTGATGTAGGTTTTCACAAAATACAAACGCAAAACACAAGAGTTTGGTGTTTAAATTGATCAGTGCAGTCTGGAAGAGAATTGAATTTGAATTGTGTATTTTCCAAATCTTGGTGTTTAGGGAAAAAACAATTATATTTCCAGCGTTTTTTCCTATCGCTTTGTCTCAATCTCTCCATCCATCTTGGCATTCTTTCATCCCTCTGTTTTCCAACCATTTGTTCGATTTTGATTACTGAATGGTTCAGGAATACTGAACCATTCAGCATTCCTGAAAAGACGCAGGAACGCTGTGTAAACAACGTTGCTCTTTGCTCTTTCAAAACACAGGATCTGGACTCCCTCGTCACCGATCGTCTCTTGGAGCTCGACTCGGACATCAGCAGCGCCATCAGCCAGGACGTCAGTTTGCATGACGCCATGGTGACCAGCGCCAGGGCGTTTGGACCGACGGACTCCCAGCGGGATAGAAACCTCCTGCTACTGGAGTCCACAAACTCCTCGCTCTCTGACTCTTTGCCGGGCATGGCCGTGGGCCTCGCTGCACTGCCCTTTGCCTCGGTGTGCAACTTAACTGGCAATCTGACGTCGCAGAGTGCGCTCGGTAGCTGCCTAGATGAGGCTGTGTTTGAACAAATCAATCAGCTGGGTTTGGGCCTGGAGGCAATAGACAATCAGCTGGACTATCTCGAGTGCTTAGACTCTCGAGCGTTCGAGGACTTGGACTCCGATTCAGGACTCTCCTTGGAAAGCAGCTATGGATGTCCAGTCTCCCCTGGTTCGTAAAAATCTTTTTAGGTTACTAATACTTTGCTTAAATTTGTACCAACAGTTATTTTATCCTCTCTCTTTCAGGTTCATCTGAGATGTCATCATCGACCAGCTTGTACTATGAAGAAGAGGGTGGAGCTACCGGCTACAGCAGCGAGGTGGACTCCAAACCCCCTAAAGGCATGCTGGACCACCACACCGTGTGGCCACCTGTTGATCTGAGTGAGAATGTGTGGCACAACCACAGCTACTCATCTCCCCATCTCCTCAGCATGCCGCCTCTAAGGCTGCCGTGTAAAACCGAGGAGCCAGAAGAGGACGGCGAGTCACGGCTGGAGGAACAAGAGTTGAGCCGCGACGAGCTGCGCGCCCGTGCCATGTGCATCCCCTTCTCTGTCCTGCAGATCGTCAACATGCCCGTGGAAGAGTTCATGGAAGTGCTGGACAGCCACAGCTTCTCCACCGATCAGGTGACGCTCCTGAGGGACATCCGCAGGCGCGGGAAGAACAAGCTGGCGGCGCAAAACTGTCGCAAGCGTAAGCTGGACGCCATCACAGGGCTTCAGGAGGAGGTGGAGCGGCTGCAGGCCCAGAGAGACAGACTGCTGAGGGAAAAGCGGCTCACGGCCAAGACCATGGGCGCTGTGGCCCACCAGTTCAAGCAGCTGACCCGGGACGTTCTCTCACGGGTGAGGGACGCATCGGGACGGCCCCTGAACCCTGACAGGTTCACCCTGCAGTGCGGCGCTAACGGGAGGGTCGTAGTTCAGCCCATCAGACAGCCCGCTGTCGCCACATCAGCTGGCAAAAAAACAGACAAGAGAAAGAAGGAGAAGAAGCCGTGAGATTGTTCACTGACACTTGAGCTTTAGGGGGTGTTTTGGATATTGCTGAACTTTACTAAACCTGGCTTTGGGGTTTTATGTTTGTAAAGATTGCATTGGGAGCCTAAATTGTCACAAGATGCAAAAACAAGAGACACTCAGAGCATAAATTAAAAAAAAAACATATCTCTACTTATGGGGTAAAAAAAGTAGCTTACACACTGGACTTTTGTTTGCTTGTTAAAGATGGGCAAAGCAGGGTTTAAGGGAACAGCTTAGCTGCTGGAAACGGCATCAATCTCTCTTTGTGCCTGTTAAGATATGAACTCGGACATTTATTGCTAAGTATGGCAGATTCTGGTTAGAGCTCTAAGACGAGAGTTGTTCTGTTTGTTTGCCTTGTACTTTGCCTATTTAGTAGAAGTCGGAGGGTAAAGATTGTATTTATAAATGGCTTGAGGTTCTTGAACTTGAAGTTCTTATATGCGTCATGAGACTTTTTATATATATATATATAACTTAAAATGTAACTGATGAGAAAATTAAAATTCCACCAAATGTTTACAGCCAACATTTCAGAGATCAGGGGGTAAGTAAGGTTAACCTTTTGAACTGAAATGAAAAAAATAATAAAGTAATTCTTTTCTACAATCTTTTTGATTACATAAAGCAAACCAATGATTAAAGAGGCCTTAATTTGCTTTTAAGATAATGTGATTTTTTTATTTTTTTTTTGGTGTAAACATGTTTTAAGAGTTTTAAAGGTTACTAGAACAAATAAAACATCTACAGCAGTTGGAGATGAGCGCACATAGGTTTGACCTTTTCAATTGCAACAATTTAAGTACTGGCATAAATTTACTCAACCTCATCCCTAAAAATCCATATCAACGTTGCTACAAGGTAAAAGAAAGTCTGAAATTGTCAACATCAACTTTTGGTGAAAAAAACATTGAGTTTTGCTTTGACACATTTTACATATTACAGAAATAGTTGCTTGGGAATGCACTGATTAACATTCTGTGGAAGACTTATTTCTTTATTTGGACCTGCTGATACTGAATGCAGCTAATACAGATTTTTCTTTAAGAATAGGAGAGACATATTCAACGTTTGTTTTTCTTCCCCTCCAATGAATGTTCAACTATTAGCAGAGAAGGAGTCAAAGAATATCCTTAGATTAGTGATTTCCAAAATACGAACAATGCTTTATGTTCCACAACACACTCGAAAGGGATACAATAGATCAACTATATCCTATTAAACCATACTGTTTAATTGTCTGATTGTCTTCTGAAAGTCTGGCTCTTTCTACCACCTTGAGTGAGCTGCAAATATGTCTCAAATTTGTATTGAATGCAGTTTATTTTTATAAATACCTGCTTACTTCATAGTCGTTCATCTGCAGTTTTCACTTGTGCAGTAAATAGTTAACTGATTCGGTAACAGCATCCACACCCGAATGTGTTATTGTCAGACATCCATCATGGTTTTATCTGTTAATTATTAATGTTGAAATTGTTCTTTTCAAAGGTTCTTCAGTTTATATACTCGCATGAGTGTGGAGGAGAAACGTATCATGTTTTGAGTAGCCTTTAATTTGGAAAATTGTCTTCCATCAAAACTTTGGCTTTGTTGTTTTGAAGTGCATGATCTGTTAATATTAGATTTTACCTTTTTTCTGCTTTCTATTCTTTGATCAAACTGGTTTGGAGGAACCAAAAAGGATGTTTTATTTTTTTTTATGATCGGTGAGGTTGTGTCAAGTACTTAGAAGGTGCTTTTGCACTCCTTCTCTTTTCACTATATAGTTATTTACCTTGGATCAAACACACTGACCCACTTCGGTAATGTGAACATTTTTTAACTCCACTTACCTGTTAAGAATCGTACCTGTTCTTTTCTACAAGTAATAAAGCAATCTATGAATAAGTACTGGGCACAACCCCACTTTAATTTATAACTTTGTCAAAGCCACGCGGCAAAAACATGAAATCTTGTCAAGTATTTTTGGTCTAGTTTCTAGTGCAAATGTCTGAAATGAGTCAAAACTTTCTAACTAGTCACATTTCAGCAGGATACAGGAACTTATTCTAACTCAGTAATTCCTTAATGTTGATGAAAAGGTAGTTGTTCCATTGGCAGATTATTTCACTTATAAAATGGGGAAAATGACATAAGTAAAATAATCTGCCAATGGAACTAGAACTTTTTCATTAATATTAAGGGATAACCAAGTCAAAACAAGCTCTTATACTTGCAAATTAGTTTTGTCTTATTTCAGCTATGCTAAGATATTTGCACTAGAAACTAGACCAAAATTGGCTAAGATTTTGTGTTTTTGCAGTGCAACCAGACCAATTTTCTCCTTGCTCATTATTATTGGGTGTTGCTATTGAAATGATCAGAAAACGAAGTGAAATGTTACCATTGCATGAAAAGTCGCTCTAGAAGAAGCTAAAAAAAGAAAAAAAATGGATTGCATAATGTCATTTGTTTTAAGTTGTGCTGTTTGTATGCCTTTTTTTAAAATAATTTGTTCTTTTTCTGAAAATCATATTTGTTTGACTTCAGAGTGTTTGTTGAAAATAAGTTTGTGTGATTAAAAAGAAGAAAAACTTTTTGTCTGATTGTTCTCAGCAAATCACAACAGCGATATACTTCAAAGTCAGTGCAACTAACACTTTAAATATAACGTTTTTTTGTTTTGTTTTGTTGGGGGGCTTTTTTTTTTTTGACAATAACTGAGAAATACCCTGGACAGCTTGCTGGTGGATCAGCGCAAGACCTGAGAAAAGCAGGACAAACGTGACTGCAATCGAGAGCAATGAGAAGAATGTACAAAACCTGCACAAAACTAACTTACTGTCCACTGATGTGGTCTTTCAGTCTGACTGATATTGATATATTTTTGCAAAGAATAGGCTAAATTTCGACGGACAAAGCTGGTAAAGTCAGATGTCAAAGAACTTTCAGCTGCAACCACAGGAGAGTTGAATGCAAATTAATGACCCAAATGAATTAAGTTTTATTCATAAAAATAAATATAAAAAGAAAATCGTGTAGAATTTCTGTTGAATCTCAAAATGATTTGCTCTGCTTTATCCGATTAATTGGAACGTCAAAATGTCGAATGTGTTTCTAGATTTAGAAACACACACACAGAAGAAACAGCTGTTTTTTCCGCTGTTAAAACTTTTCTCTTTCTGGTTTTAAACATACGTTAACCACGCAAAAAAAAGAAATAAAAATAAAATGTTAATCCCAGGTCTGTTCAAAACAATAAAAAGAACTCAAACGAGGTAAAGAAAAAAATTCTCTCCTTGAAGGCGGAGCCTTAAAGCGATCGCGTTTCCTTCCGGGTTGCCGTAGAGCACCTCAATTTGGCTTTTCGCGCTATAACTTGACTGTACGTTTAGTGGCCCGCGTGTGCAGAAGATTTCTCCAAGTGGATAACTGGTTTTTAAGGTTGGTATGCGTACTTCACTTATCTTCAAAAGTAGCTCATCTTTTACAGTTTCGATTTAACTTGTAGCTTTAATAAGGCGAACTTACAGAATGCACGCTGATTCTGTGCGGTTGCACCTCTAACAGTGACTAAGTGTTTTTACCCGGCAAGGTTTGCAGATCTATTGTTGTCTATTCGGCTAGCTAAATAATAGACATACCTTTCCCCAGGTACACCGTGTTATCTTCCTTTGTGTGTTTTTAGCGCATCGTTGCTGTGATATTTATTGCATGGCAGAAGAATGATTGAATTTTCCGCTCGGATATAATGTTAAAGTTTATAAGCTAACGGTAAATGTCCAGTCGGCGAAACTTGTGGCTAACTCAAGTTAGCACAGCGGCTTACCTTTGTAATGCTATCAAGAGTTCCCCGGCTAATGAGCTAACGTCGGATGCTAGCGAGTTTATTTCAGTTCGGAGGAGGCCTCACTATATCGACCAGATTTGGATTGTGTTTGTTCCCCTTTTCAGCACCCATAGCTGTCTGCCAGAAAGCTAGTTTCACATTTATGTGCATAAAGGTGTCGGTCAAATAGACTTGACGCTAATAATGTGATGCTTATCCCTCCTCCTTGTTTGTAGAGCACAAAATGGGCAAGAAGCAGAACACCAAAACTAAGAAGGAAGCGCAGACTCAGGAGGAGCCGGAGGAGTTTGTTGTGGAGAAAGTGATGGACCAGCGCGTCGTCAATGGGAAAGTGGAGTTCTACCTGAAGTGGAAAGGATTTACTGAGTGAGTTTCCCTGTGACAGCCATTTCTTCCCTGCTATGGGGTTGTGCTGTGCATTTGGATGCACGTTTGTGCTGCCGTTCTTGGACGGATAAAGTTCGCTTTCAGGTTTCGGCACCTGTTCGCGGAAGTTTTGAGTTGGGCGGAAAAGAAAAAAATGTCACCCCCATCCCTCTTCCTGTCTTTGTTCATTTAGTGCTGACAACACTTGGGAGCCTGAGGAGAACTTGGACTGCCCTGAGCTGATTTCAGCTTTTCTGGAGTCGCAGAAAAACATCAAGGAGAAGCCTGCGGCTGTGAAGAGGAAAGCTTCCACAGAGGAGGGAGAAACTGAGTCTGCAAAGAAAATTGAGGTTGGTTTAAGAATAAATAAATTATTGTTTTAGCTGAATTAGTGGTTGTTGTGTGTTGGTCTGCATTTGTTGCTGGACTATGTGAAAGACTCGTAACTTCATCATTACTATTTTCTGTTAAGGTGTGAGTAGCAAGAAGATGTTCCATTCTCATGCTATGCGTGGTTTTGTAGGTTGAGCAGCCACGTGGTTTTGCCAGAAACCTCAGTCCAGAAAAAATAATTGGTGCCACGGATAGCAGTGGGGAGTTGATGTTCTTGATGAAATGGTAAGCTACTAAGGATTCCTATAAATGTCAATAAGGGCTGCTTGAAGACTTTTATTTATTTTTTTTTTGCTTTCAAGCAAAGATGTTTGTTTGTATGGGTGCAAAATGTTCAAATCTAATAATGGTCCATTACCAGACATCTGTAGAATGTTGACATGCTGAGGAAATGGCTGAAAATATTTAGATTCTCAGAGATGCATCTCAAACTGACACTGGAGCTGGAAACCCCTTCTGACTGGTTCTGATTTATATGGGGATCCCTCTATTTCATATATGTTGTAGAAAAGTTTAGTTTTTCTTTAAATACGCTTCCCATTCAGTGTGTCACAGTCCACTTCAGGCTTGGACATTTTCTAGATTCCTTAAAGGGTGACACAGCTCTTTTGTGTAGTGCTAAATCTGAAGCAACAAATCATGCCAGCCAGTATACAATTGTATTTTTCTTAGTGTTTACCTTTTTCTTTCTTTTACTCTGCTTTTGCTTTTCTTCTAAATATCAAAACTATTTTTTTTTCAGTGTTTATTAGAATTGTTTTGCTAATACAGCCATTTAACATTAATCAATGTGATATAATACAAACAGTTCAAGATGTTTTAGATTAATTTTTGATAACAAACATCAAGCTTCCTTCTGAATTAGATTTTTAGCCTTGAAAAATCATCTGCTGTCAGCTCTTCCATGTTATTGCTTGATATTAGTGACTTGTTAACTGTATGACAAAGAATTGTGTCTGCCTCTACATTTATTATTCGTGGAAATGTTCTCCACTGACTAACTTTAAAGTTTTTCTTTTTCTCTCTCCTTTACCTGCTTTCCCAGGAAAGACTCGGATGAAGCAGATTTAGTCCCAGCCCGCGAGGCCAACACACGCTGCCCTCAGGTCGTCATAGCTTTTTATGAGGAGCGACTGACATGGCATTCATGTCCAGAGGATGAAGCTCAATAATTCCTCCCTCTGGTATCTGCTGTTTGGTTTTTTTTTTGTTTTTGTTTTTTGTTTCTCTCTCTCTCTCCATGAAGTCTGAACTTCTCCTCCTAGTCTGCCTCTTAATTTTAGCTACCTTTAGACTGTTCTATAGAGTTTTCTACATTTGTACTTTGGCAGCAGAGGAGAACTTTATGCCTATGTGAAGTAACCGAGCAGCTGATGTGTCCGACAGAGTTCATCCAAATGTTACGTTGCGACAGAACTACTGTGAATCTCAGGCCTGCTCTCAAATGTTTTTTAATTCCGACTACTTGAACAATGTTAAGCTGTTAATTGAGTTTGTTTTTGTTGTTGCTTTATCCTGCAAGTTCTTCTGAAATTCCATTTTGTTTATGGAGTGTAAATACTATCCCAGGTTCCAATTAAAACTTTTATGTACATATTTATAGGTCTGTTTATTCTTGACCCCATCTACATATGGATACATGACAAGAACAAGAAAATAAATTGGAAATCTTTATGCCTTTTTGTAATTTCCTCTAGTTGTGTGACCTTTTCTTACATGGCAGCTTGTGTGTATTAAATTTAAACCGGCATTAAGAGGCGAAAGAGATGAACTTTAGACTTTTGAGCATATTGTTGAGCCTCCTGTGGCAACACCTTGTGTAATGTGCAAACTTATTACTTTACATTAAGGCCAGTTAAAACTCCCATCACTTCCAGTATTTTTTTTAATTTTTATTCTTGTGGTGTTCTTAAATAAGGAAATTTCTTCGTACGACTTGGTGCTTTCACTCCTAAAGAAAACGCATTTAGAACATTTGAAAACAACTTGAGTTCAGAAAGGGGGATTTAAGTGACTGGAATGTGACATGGTTAAACGTGTGAGGTGTACTGGCATAAGCATTTGACCCACTTACATGTTTTCATAGCTTTTTATATAGCCACTTTGATTTTAAAAATGAACAATTAAAAGAAAATTGCTTTATATTGGGGGGCATCAACCTGACTTAATGAGTTATAGGAGCTCAAATACCCTGTCATAACTTTAGTTTTGGTTATGGTCTTCTGACTAAAATTTAATTTGGATAGTGTAATCAACTGTTTGTTGCTTTATTTATTTTCATAAATTAATCAGATTCTTGAAGAAAATTCTGATCTGGATGTGAAGGTATTTGGAATACCTTCTCTGAGACCATTTAGTATTGAAATGTTTAAGCACATGTCCCATGGCAGCATAAGTACCACTTCTATTGGGTAAAAACAGGAAGCTGGGGTTATGATTGTAGCATTCACATGATAGATTCATCATTTGATTTAAAAAAAAAATTCCAACACTATCTTTTAAAATGTGTCTGAGTTGTAGATTCACGTCATGGGTGTGTAACTTGACAAATCTGTAACAATCAAGATGGATCAAAGTATGAACATTTTGGATTTTACTCCTTTTTTGCATCTGGATCACACTAGAACTGCTCCAGTTCCTAAAATACAACTTATAGACTCTTAAAACTTTGACTAGACTATTCTGCTTTGATAGCAGAATATTTAGAACCATGTTTCTGATTTGTGAAACCTTTCTCTGATGTGTGAAACTTCACTTAGCAGCCCGCTGCAAAAGACCTTTCCTTCCAACAGCAATCACTGCAATAACTCTTTGAAAAATTAATGACTTACACCAACATTGAATTTTCCAGTGGGATCAAAAACGTGATTTTGAATTAGAATTGAATTTGAAATAATAGCCTAATGGAAAAAAAAAACTCCAGCATGAAGCAAGTGTGAATAGTGATCTAAACTTTAGTGAAGTTTCACAAGTACCAAACATGGACTAAAATATTCTGCTATTAGAGCAGAATAATCCAGTCCAAGTTTGAAGACCCTAGGTGTTGTAGTTTTTAAACGAGAGTCGATTGAAGATGCGCAGGGTAGTGTAAAAATCGTGTGGAATCGATTTTTACACTATCCATTTCCCGAATCGGAAGCTGGAATCGGAAACCGACTCCAGGTCACAGGAGCTTTTCGCTACTCTTCCCCAGGTTCCCGGCTCGCGGGAAATAGAAGCCCAGAGAAAAAGGAAAGTCGCGTGCTGGTACGACTCTGAGGCAGCGTGCGCTTCAGAGAAGCAGGTCTCAGAAGAGGGTCTCACCGAGTTGTTAGTGGTTAACAGGCGAGCCGCGGTGCAGGCGGGGCAGAGCTTAGAGCCGGAGCCCTGAGCCGGTACCGGGTCTCGGTTGTTCACAAACACCGGATTAAGGCTCTGAAATTGAAGAGAACAAAGGTAGGAATTGTTTGGCAGCATAAGGTCTGTGTCATTTCGAATCTCGAACTCTTGAAATATTTATATTTTTGTTTCATCAACTTCTGAGTGAGACGCTGAGTCTTCAATTAGTTTAAGACTGGCAGGTTTGACTCAGGACCCTGCATCTTGAAGCAGTGCAACATTTATGTCTTACATTAACTTTAGTTTTGGTTATGGTCTTCTGACTAAAATGTAATTTGGATAGTGTAATCAACTGTTCCTTTATTTATTTATTTTCATAAATTAATCAGATTCTTGAAGAAAATTCTGATCTGGATGTGTTGCCAAAGTGTTTGACTGTGCATATGGTAGAGAAGTTGTTGCAAACGTGTAGTAATAATTAATTTGGTAAATCCGTCTGATTCCTCAACCTGCTTATTTTAAAACCCCCAACTGGTTCAGTTTTAATAACTCGGTTACACTGGTAAAGCAACTTCAGATTGCAAAGTGAGTCTTACTAAAGGTGCCCGAAGTAACAGCTGTACTTGTATAAAGTCTGAAACCCTGGCTTTAGATGGGGAAAAAATGTTTTACAGTCTGAAGATGCAACATGGTCTTTTCTTGTCCTTAGTCAGCTTCTGTTTTTTTCTCTAGAATTGGACTTCCTGTTAAGAGATTTAGTGTTTTCATAACTATAGCACACAAAATGGATGTGCTTCTATGTTTTAATTTGGTTGTAATGTTGAATATTGTAAGGTTAGCTCTGTATTTTTTTTTGGGGTGGGGGGGTTAAATTAAACTCAAATGGTATCAAATAAATGTTCCTGGTTGTCATGATTTAGTTTAAGAAATGTGGCCCCACCGTTTGCCACCACCGTCCGTACTGGATCTACTGTTTTCCAATTGGACCCAATCAAGGGGGGAAATGAGGTGACCAGTGCTTCACAATCCGTTTCCTGTTTAATCTTAGCGTCTTGACTGTCTGAGCATCTATTTTGTAACTGCTGTTATGTCAGCCAATGACTATAGAAAAGGAATGAGGGGCACATTTCATGAAGCCCATTTGACCAGACACGGTTATGCAAGACAATCGACTGTCCCAACAAAGAGCTGTTTTTCCTCAACGCGAAGAAATTGTGCCATGAACTGACAATTAACTCACAACATGAGTACAGTAATGCTGTCCTGCAGAAAGTTTACTGGATTGGTTTGTGACTTCATGCTGTAGTAGTTTTGCACAGCACATCTACAGATTAGACATGGACTGACAATGTTTGGTTCTATAGATCAGTTCTGCTTGAGGCATGCCTCAAGTAATGTGTCTAGGAACACATGTTGACAATGTGCAGAGGCCTGTATGTGTGACTGGCCATGTGATGGGAGAAGTTGTGCAACAAATGGACCCACACACCCCGTCCTTAAAGAGCAGGTTACTCTTGGAGATATTCAAAGATCTTTAAAGTGAGTTTCTGTTCAAGGGATTTAAATAGTTGGTCTTGCCTGTTGAATTTGCACTCATCCTAGGAATTAGTTCATCCTAGGAACTTGAAGCTAATGGCTTGGTCAAGATGAGATAAGTGGACTTCTGTCTAAAGGTCCATTCTCTTCCAATGGTAGCTTCACATTTGGATTAGTTTTAAAAAAAATACCCTCGATTATTTACACAGCAAAAGGAGGTGGGTGGGAAGTGACATACCAGTGACTTTCATGTGTGAATGTGTGAAACCTTTACTGGATGTCTCTTTCGAGTAACTGCCGGATATTAAAGTAAAGAAAAATTATAAAGTGTTTTGAAGGAATGTTATTACTGGGCTTCCACTTGGAAGAAAAGTTGGATTTGCAAGATAACATTTTTTTTTTACCTTCTATGCAGAACTTGTAGCAGTAATGGACAGTATTCTGGATAATCTCTCAAAAACTGTAAGTATTCAAATGTATTCTTCAAATCCTCAGAATGAGATTGAACTAAAGTACTGAAAATGGCCCCAGATGAAACCCCTTTGCCCCCCCCACCCCCTTTTTTAAAAAATTAATTAATTAATTTAACTTGTTGAGAAATGTTGATTCTCAATTTCCCATCGACTTTTTTAGGAATTTGCTAGCGTTTGTGTTAGAGATCCTCGACTCCACAAAGTTGACCCCTGGCACTTATGTCGACTACGAGATCTGTTTAAAGGCAAGTGTTTTGGACCGAATATTGACCTTGGCTTAATTTTTGTCAGTAAGCCTGTTTGATCAGATAAGTGTACTAATGTTTTTCTTCCAGACCAACAGCATGTGTTTTCGAAAGAACACTTCCTATGTGAGACGGCGTTACAGTGATTTTGTTTGGCTGCGTCACTGTCTGAAGGGAAATGCTCTGATCATGTACGTTTAAACTTTAAAACCTTGTATAAACTTGGTCTGACTAGATGCATGTTAACATTTTTAGTTTTCTGTGCAGAGAATTGCCCAAGTTGCCACCCTGGAATCCCTTCTTTAGTTTGAAGAACAAAGAGCAAGTATCCAAAAGAATGAGGGGCCTGCAGGAGTTTCTAGAAAAGTTAGTAGTTTCATAAAAGTACTGTTTTTTTATGTTAACAGAGGTGTTTTAATTCAATTTTCTTTTTCCAGTGTTTTTCAGAATCCCTTATTGTTATCAGATAGTCGGCTTCATCTTTTCCTCCAATCAGAACTCAGTATCAGAAGGATTGAAAGGTGTGCTCTTGGTAAGACCAGGTACACTGTCGCTGAAGCTATTCAACTGTCCAGAAGCAGTTACAGCAGTTCGGAGGATAAGAGCTCTTGTGACTCGGACTGTGAGAGGTGAGATGTTTACAGTGACTTACAAAAGTAATATGCTTTGAACTTTTTTACATTCACATCCGTCACAAAGTTCAACATGCAGTTGTCGTTTGGATTGTCGTGGTGGACGAATGTAAAATATCGACATTGAATGTGTTTGAAGTTCATTCTTCGTCATTTTAACACGACTAAATCTAAAAGGTCGAATACATTTTACTAAACTTTGTAGCATATGCAATTTAGATGCTAATCTTGCCATTTTTTAGTTGTCCAGCTTTGCATCTTCAGATCTGGGATTGAGCATCGATGCTACCCTAATTGCTTTCAGAAGGATTGGCTCGAGACAGTCCGGTCCCTTTTCATCATTCAAATGAAAGAGACCCCTAATTGAGGATTCTCCTTTCCATATCATGCACAGTATTTGTATTAAAACCTGCATTACCTTCCCTCAGATTATACATTGGTGTAACTGCCTGTTTGCAATAGTCTATGAAGTCATGGTATGTTTGACCAGAAAAGTGCCAAAAAAAACCCAACAACAATATGTTCAGTGTCCTGCTTGGACCATTTTAATTTACCTCATTGTTCTCAAAGACCTTTGTCACTGAAATGGTATGTTTGCGAGGAGGAAGTTCGATATACATTTTTTAAAAACCATATAAAACTATATGTATGTTATGGAGAACACTGTATTTTATTAGTGCTTCAGTGTTGCACTGTATAGTAAGCAAGATTTGAATTGTTTGTTTTAAATTTGATCATATTTTATGATTGGTTAAAGAATAAACAAATTGTCTCTGAAAATTTTTTGTGGATATCTTTGTTACTTGGCAAAGCTTAGATTTGCTTTTCACAAGACTTCAGTAATGGTGCATGTTTGCATTGTGCCAACACTCCAGTAGAGGGAGTGTAGACAGCATCTTAAACTGAAACAGTTGGCTGTTCAGAAATGAAGGCCACATGCATTGCAGAACATTAACGTCCTTGTGGCCTCTCTGCAAGGGAATATTTCTGCAGTTTTAGGAAAACTTGGTTACCTTATACCTAAATAGAGGAGTGGAAGACCGACTTAAAATAACCAGATTATGTGTGCACATATTAAAGTTTATTTGAGATTTTCATCTGCAGTTATGTAGCCTTAATCCCAAGATGCAACTTTGAGCAGCAGTTCTTGCATGTATTTCTTTTACATCTTCCTGTGTGGCTATAAGATAAAAATTTATGTCCAGACCTCTGGGCAGTGGTGAGAAATGTCAAATCTGATTTCCAGAAGTTACTGAAACTCCACTGAGAAAGTAAAATGCATGTAAAAGGTTCAGAAATACTTGTGTCATTTGACACATCAATGTCTCGAAGGTTTCCTGACATTAATGTTAGAATATCTTTTACATTTTCAGTGTGGGGTTGATGCTTCAATAAAACTTAAGACGTTTTGCACGTTTACGTTTGTCAGCACTTGTATACTTGGTCACGTTGCTGTATGCCCGTCCATGAGATGTTTGTTACATTTCAAATATTCTAGATGCGATCGGTCAAACTAGTGAAGACTACTTTTGAACTTCAAACTTTCCCAGGATGCAACAGCACTTGACACCCTTTTTAAATTGGAGGAACCAATTGCTCATTACAGAAGACAGCAGCTGCCCCCACCAACCAAGCACTGGACAGGACATGAGGATGCTCCCTCTCCCCACATTAAACCTGGCCCGTCCTGTCTCTGTTCTTCTTTCCTCTGGATCACACCATCTCCCTGTGCGCACAGGCCATAATGAAGCTGTCAGCGACTTCACACGCCAGCCGCTGAGCTGTTTTTCACACTGCAAACACTGTTGCGTACGTACGCGCAACGCTGACAGTTGTGAAAGCACACGAGCGAAAGCTGTGCATGGGTGAGCATTTTCTCTCCTCTCCTCGTCCTGTTGTCATTTCTCCCCTCCCACTCCAGTCCCCCTGGTTTGTGTTTGGAGCTCTCAATCTGTTTGCTGTTAAGGCTGACCTTATCAGTGTACACCCCTTGACAAGCATACAGTTATGACACACACGGTATGGTTCAGAGCGGGTCAATTTTTCTGCAAAAATGAAATGCAGTTGAAAGCGTTTGCATCTGGTGTGTGTGTGTGTGTGTGTGGGTGTGTGTGTGTGCACATCTGCAGTTTTGAAGGAAGGATGTATGGGTGCGCGGGTTGGGGGGGACCAACCAGCATTTGGATATTGAGTATTCACGGTACATGTCTATTTCAGCTTGGTAATTTATAACTCAATTTCCAGTGTGCATTGATGCGCTTCATACCTCAAAAACACCAAACAAAGCCCAAACCCAATTGTATTTGAAAGCAATTAGGGTGTCCACTGGGTTGTGAACGGTCCACGTTGCGATGGCTCTGGGCCCGTGTGATATTTAATTGTTAATTTTCTATCACATTAGTCAACTTCAGTGCTTTTGGACAGGTGACCAAGAGTCTTGTACGTAACACACTCACTGCTTTTTAATGGCGGGGGATACTTCTGTGCATAGGAGGGGAAAGGTGATGCGTGCGCATAGTTAAATGACAGGACTGGTATATCATATTTACAGCTGCTTTACGGTCACAATCTTCTTAATGCTTTTCAATATACGTGGGTGACCGTCAATATTGGTTTAAGTTTATGAGTGTAAATTATTAGCTCATTTAGTCTCTCACGTGACGCCACCACAGGGGAATGGATTCACCCCTTGACCGTACAAAAGCCAACTATGGTAAAATCCATACCAGCAATTAGCCTGGGTAGCTCTCACCCTGCCCCTGCACTCACTTCCACACCCATTTTTCTACTTCTCACATTTTCCCCCTGTTCTCATCATATCCTTGTAGGCCACAAGTTAATTACCTGTACTCTTTTGTAGTTGGGAGGCTATTCTTTATTTATTTTTATTATTTTGCTTTTGTTTTCTGCTGATGCTGCACAGCCTGACTCCCTGTGTGTCAGATGTTGAACTGTTGAGAAAGTATGAAGGCCTCAGTCTAGAGCGTGAAGCTTTCCATGGGCTTTTTTTTTTTTTTTTTTTTTGTATGGCCAAAGAAGCAATCCTCCATAATTTATCATAAACAATCTGAAGGATGAATCTCACACTCTAAAGGGAATATTGTCTTACCCAGCTGTTGTTCGGCCGGGGAAGTCATCATCAGATTTAAACTTATACTTAAGTACAATAAAACAAAATTAGATTTAGTGTCTGAACATTAGAATTTGAGAAAGATTGTAAAAATGTATATATAAAAAACTAAAATGTATTAGATTATCAACCCAAAATCTATTTCCTCTTTACGATGTTTTTCTATTATTATATATATATAAAAAGTAAAGATCCCGAAACGGACTGCTGCTTTCATTCAATAATATATGTTATGTAATGTTTTGTGATAAAATGTGTTGGACTTAATAGTTATCTAATTCAGCAAGCAACTTTACCAGTTTATGGTAACCACAGTATGATTTCAGTGATGAACTGGCAAAATTAAGAAACAGTCAGTCAATCAATAAATCTTCATGTGTAGAGCAGCTCTCACACACACACACAGGCACACACACCCACACACACGGATGCATGCACAAAGGTAAAATTATCACAAAAGAAAGTTTTTAATCCAAAAAAGGATTTGTTTATTTAACGGTGTGACCAAATTTATTTTTTTTCTACTTAAGTATAAGTTTAAATCTGATGATGACTTCCCCAGCTGAACAACAGCTGGGTAACAAGATATTCCCTTTCGTGTGAGAATTACATGAGCTGATCTCATTGTTCGGTTCCCAGAGATGCTCGATGGAACTAGAGTAAGGAATGTTAGCACTTTGTTTTGTGGTTCAGAGGTGATGTATTACATATATATATATTAAGAGTTCAATCTTCTCCCTAAGCTCCCAGCGAGCCTCTGTGGACTGACTGCTTCTTTCATACAAAAAACATACACTATTAAATGTTCTGGAACTGTCTTACCCTGAAAACTTAGTGCAGTTTGAAAAAATAAATTGTATTCCACTTAATACAATAGGATAAACTTCCAGAAGGACAACCACCAATAGTGACAAGCTGAAAGCCTCTCCTTAATATAAGAAACATGGCAGCCAGAGTCTAGACTTGAATACAGGTGAACATTTCTGGAGAAATCTAAAGATGGCTGCATGGATGTCTCCCATCCAACCTGATGGAGCTGGAGAAGTACTGCAAAGGGTGGGCCAAACTACCAAGAGATTGGTGAGGAAAGCCTGTGACATCACATTCAAAAAGACTTGAGGTTGTAAAAGCTGCCAAATATGTATAAACACAGTATCAAGCAAAAGGCTGTGAATACTTGCTTAAATGTGATGTCTTGGTTTTCCATTTAAAATTCATTTGCAAAACACAAACATTTTTCCACATTGTCATAATTGTGTGTACTATTTGTGAAGAAAGAGATTAATTTAATCTAGAGTAAGGCTGGAATGTAGCAAAATGTGGTAAAAGTGATCTGCTGTAAATGCCTTTCAGATGCACTTTATTTCTACCTGACAATGGAGGTTGTTTTACTTGTTTGTCTAAAACATATCATTCAAGGTTTAGTACGTTAGCAATGATCAATATTTAAGGCTAAATCTAGTCATAATTTACCTTAAAACTTATAATACTTACAATGTACTCAAATAAAGGAAAAGTAATATGTTTCTCATATTTTGGACTTTCTCGGATGCCACCTACCGACTAAGGTTTTGTTTTGACTTTTTCAAGAAGGCCATGGGAAAAAATAATAGATTTGCAGGGTAAAGTTCAAATAAGGAGAAAGGCACCTGTGTGTGCACTGTTCAGTTATGTGTTGTTTTGGGGTCAAAAGTCAGCACGTCTATTGTTTTTTGGATAATTCAGTCTTAAGTGTAATTGCACAAGGTGTCATTTAAAGTCAATGGGTCTCCCTCCACAAACCCCGCCACCGCATGCCTAAAACATACACACTCCAAGGTTTTGCACTCACTCCGCACATCACAGACCGTTTAGCAGCTAAAATATGACCCGTGCACAGATAAATGTCAGCGGGCCATCTATCTGAGAGTGTTAAAAGTCGGCTAATGGAGATGACATATTAGCGGCCCAAATGACTGCCATAAAAAGAAGCGCCCTCCATACCTCGCGGCTGTGCCTGGCCACTGTGACGGCAGTCAGATGCAGCAGCGGTCTGTTCGGAGTGGAGGGTGAGCTCATATCTGGATCTTTTGATTCAATAAATTGTGTGGGCTCGGCTGTGAGGCTCTGTGATTGGGAGATGGATGTGACATATTTACTTGAGGGCTCCCACTTTCACGTTGTATTACACATTTTCCATATAAAACTCTCGGTGTAATCCCAATAACCTCTCACCTTCGACTCTTCACCCAGAAGTTATTAGCCGGGTCGGCTTTACTGTTGCCATCTGAGTCAGTGGCAAGACTTGCTTTAAAATCAATATCTCTCTCTTCAACCTCGACTTGAAGATCCTCCACAGGTACGCGTTTGCCCTCTGATACTTCACCCTCCGCCCCCCTTTCCATCTCTTTATTAATTACCCCTCTCCAGCCATGCGTGTCTTTCTCTCTCTGAGTGAATGGAGCAGTTGTAATTGCTTCTCTCTGGAGCAGTTAGAAGCGACACAAAGGAACCGTATAGAAAACCACATTTGCATTCGAGATGAGC